GAAAGACAAATATATATTACTCATATGTGGAATCTAATTTTTTACAAAATGATACAAATGAACTTATTTAGAAAACACTCACAGATGTAAAAAATAAACTTATGGTTACCAAAGGGGAAAGTTTGTGGGGGGATAAATCAGGAGCTTGGGATGCACATACACACATTACTATATATAAAATAGGTAACCAACAAGGACCAACTGTATAGGACAGAGAACTCTACTCAATATTCCATGAAAATCTATTTGAGAAGAGAATCTGAAAAAGAATGAATATATGCAGGTGTATAACTGAATCACTTTGCTGTACACTTGAAACTAACACCACATTGTTAATCAACTATACGCCAATAAAATTTTTAAAAAAGTCAAAAAAACCCAGATATCCAAAACCAAACTCAGGATTCATAGAATTTTCTCCTCCAGTACCTGGTGCCACGTGCATACAATTGCTCATGCTACCAACACATACTCCTTCCTTTGTGCCTTAAACTTTCAGTCATCAAATCCTTTGTGAATTCTACCTCAAACCTGTCTCTCAAATCTAACTTCTTCTGTATCCACCCTTATCCAACAGCACTGGCCTGGACTGACAGGAAGGCAAGGACAGGGTTTTGATGTTGTGGGGTTGACTGTAGCCAGATGCTGCAGATTAGCACAAGTCCAGAGATGATGGACACTCAGGAGATTACTGCAACAGAGTGAGTGAAAGATGAGAGCCTGAAGGAGGGGTCATGGGAATGAGGAAGTGGTGTGGCTTCGAGAAAGATTGAGGAGGAAAAAGTGATGATTTGGTGGAGTGAGAGAGCAGGGAGTCAGAGATGACTCCGAAGTTTCTGGTTTGGGTGACTCGGTGATTGGTGGCTTTGTGGAGAGAAAGCTTGCCTCTCATGAGTTTACAGTTTCTCTAAGCTTTCTAGGGAAATTGTTAATCACAAATGAGGGGGACAGCACAGCTGTGTTCAATGCGATTGAGAAGAGGTATGTTATGCTATGAGGGAGGTTGCTCCTGGCCAGCAAGATGAACTGACAGCTAAACACTGACTTGACATCATGATTGAGGCTCTGGAAAGGGCACAGGGTCCTAATAGAGAACTCTGCAAAGGTCTTAGCTAATGTGTCAGCTGACTCCATGTATAGTAAGCTTTTCCTGCTCACTTGTACTGTTTCTGGTGAAAAACAGCCAGAAATGGGAGAACCCAGATGTCCAAGCACACCTTACAGAGAGACCAGGTTCAGTCCCAGCTGGTATGCGGATACCCCCTGAGCCATAGATGGTTGCAAACTCCAATGCCCTGGAATCGCATTTCCCAGAACTGAAGAGCCTCCTGATAAAAGATACCACCTGGGGGCAGGAATCCAACCTGCAAGCCCACCATCCTGGTCCTGAGAGGCTCCTGTCAGTGCATTAGGCCCCTCTGCCAGGATAAGGCAAGAGGGCCAGAGAGGCTCTTAGTCACCTCTGGAGACTCTGCCATCAGTGGTTAAGGCCAGAGATGCCCACCCAGGAGCAGATGCTGGAGCTCCTGGGGCTGGAGCATTCTGGCCCATCCTAAGAGATCCACCCGGGGTTCAGTGTCACACCCAGAGGGTGACAACAGGCAGCAACCTGGATGGAGGATTGGCAGTGACAGCCCAGGAACCAGGATGCTGGGTGAGAAGGGCCAGAGACCCAGAGAGTGAACACAAGGTGGGTGATAAACTCTCCTTGGGATGTTACACTTCCGCTTTCTCTTCCCTGGGGATCCTGTCTCCCAGGCCTCCAACAAGAATCTACACCACTGAGCTGAGGGTCACCTTTATTTTGGTCAAAGAAAGAACCAAATTTTTGAGGTTTGATGGGCAGCTCAGAGTAGACCTGAAAAGAAAACTAGGGAGCATTCTGTTTACACCCTCATTTTACTGATAAGGCAACTGAGGCGCAAGCATCACAAAACTCAGTAAGTGGCTGCCTGCAGCACTGGAAATGGACCCTGGCTCTTCAGGCTCCCCCAGTGCTGATCTCATTGTCCCAGGTTGTCTCCTGGTCAAGTTCAACTGCAGCAACATGTGTGTGATTAGCTAACTCCCTGTGAAGAAGCAACTTTTGTGTCTCTCAAAGACATGGATCTGGTTGTACAATTTTGTGGCTATAATTTTTTTAAAAACCCACTGAACTTTGTACTTTAAAGGGATGAATTTGGGACTTCCCTGTGGTCCAGTGGCTACGACTCCATGCTCCCAAAGGAGGGGGTCCAGGTTCAAACCCTGGTCAGGGAACTAGATACCACATGTTGCAACTAAGAGTTCGCATGCTGCAATGAAGATTCAAGATGCCGCATGCTACAACTAAGACCCAGTGATGCCAAATAAGTAAATAAAATATTTTCAAAAAAGGATGAAGTTATGGTATATAAATTATATCTCAATTGAAAAAATTATCTTTGAAGTAAAAAAAATTTGAAATAAGTATTTTACAGCTGCAGTAAAATATTTAAATGTAATATACAAAATAATGTATCAGAGACATAAAAATAATTTATGCTATCAGCATAAACATGACATATCCTTTTGTATTTTTGTGCAGATCTGATAGTAAAGCTGATTTTGCCTTTTCTGTGCAGAGTATCTTGTAAGAAGAGCTATTAGAACCATTAGCATTTGAAACGACTGATCTATGTGCATTGCAATTTTCTCAATAGTATGCAACCAAACTAAAAATTAAATAAATCGGATGTTAAGAATGCAGTTCCCAAAAGGATTTTAAAAAATACTGAAAAGACATGTGCCCTGGTTTAGGCACTATTTCCTTGAGTAAAACCCACCTGTTGCAAAGGGAAAAGTGTCTTATAGTTTCAAAGGACTGAGCATAGGAGAGTTTTCCCTGGGGTTTGGGGCAAGGCTACAGACTGAGCGGGAAATCAAGATGAAAGAGGAGCAGGTGCATGAATATGCTGTGGGGGAGCACTTCCCACACAGCTCCTCAGCAGACTCAGGGTGAACAGTCCTTTGGGATCTAACTAGTTGCCCCCACCACCTCCGCCCACCCCTTACTCTTTATTCTTATTTTTTTTTAACGTTTATTTTTATTTATTTTGGCTGCACCCGGTCTTAGTGGCATGCAGGATCTGGTTCCTTGACCAGGGATCCAACCCAGGCCCCCTGCATTGGGAGCCTGAAGTCTTAATCACTGGATCACCAGGGGAGCCCCGCTGCCCCCTTAACTCTTTAAAAGCAAACTTCTCCATCAGAATTTTCTCCTTAGCTCCAATTTCTCCCTCTGAGGGCATGCGTCTGACTTCTGGTGTGATCCTTGACCTCCGATTCTCACAATCCTGGATCAGAGAGGACTCTTGTTGTCTCTTCCAACATAGAGCCTGTTTCCCAGGAGACTGCCCTGCTCAGTGTGGACACAGGGAGGCATGTGTTCTGGAGGCGTCTGGGTCACTGAGGCACCCTGAAGATACACTGTGCTGGTGGACTTCTTCCATGCATTCAGGAGTTCAGATGGACAGATATTTATGGAGCCTTCCTATGGGTCTGTAACATGAGCCCCCTCCTCCCTGGTCCTCTGCACCGGCCCATCCCCTTGCCAGGGTATTCACAGAAGCAACCAGGACTCCAGGTGCAAAAGCCTGAGTGGCTGAAGTCCAGCTCTTAGAACTTAAAGCAACTAGGATGCCCCTCCAAATAAAATGTTGCACCTTATGATGAGTTCCCCTGTCCATGAAAATTTCTAACAAGAGGTGAGATGACAGCTCATCAGGGTGTGGAAGAAGAAACTATGCAACAGGCAGTTAGGAGAATCTTGGTTTTTCCTCCAGTAAGATGCTGTGATTTTTGAAAAGGTTTGTAAAGAGGAATATGGGACAGTTGACCACCTCCCACTTTTTCTGTTGGTCAGTTCAGCTAGGGGCAGCCATGCCCACTGGTCCACACTGCCATAGTGGCTGAACCAGACCTCAGAGCCACCCTGAGGGGTCCAGATCTCTTAATGGGTGAGGCATCTATGCCCATGGAGACTTTTGCCTTCGAGTGCAGGGGCATCCACCACGATTGAGGCAAATACCTCGGATCCTCTAATTTAAACTTCATAAAGTTGAAGAAACAGGTTTGAAAGGGGAACTAAAGCTGGGGTTGAATCTAGGTCTGCCCAAAGCCAAATTTCATATACACTAGGTGCTGTGATCTGAATGTCTGTGTTTTCCCCTAATTCCTATGCTGAAAACCTAACCCTCAACATGATGGTCTTAGGAGGTAGGTCATGAGGATGGAGCCCTTATGAATGGGATTAGTGCCCTCAAGAGATCCCACAGAACTCCCTCAGCCTTTCCACCACAAGGAGACACAGCAAGAGGACAGCCCACCTATGAACCAAAAGGTAAAATAAACACCTTAAAACTCTTCTTCTGAACACTGTCTTTAGCCCAGACAGCCCCATTTCATATGCATCTCTCGGCAGCGTCACCTCCTGGGCTCTGCCATTTCCTGGGACTGCCTTTCGCAGGTTTTTGTGACTCTGGCCTCCCTTCCACTGCTGAAAACACAACACTCCTGTTCTTCCAACAAGCCTGATGTAATTGTTGGGAAGGGGACCTCAGACTAGTCTGAAGGGTCACCAAAAATGATAGGGCAGACCACTGGGCTCCCATTAATTACCTCTTGGCCTAACAGACAAAATGTTTTGTCCTCTTGAGTTCAACGTACTGCCACCTTTTGTCATTCTTGGAAACTTAACTGAGACATAATTTACATGTCGTAAAATTAATGAATGTGTCAGTGATTTTTTTAGTTCATGTTCTGAAATAATTTGGTTTTAGAATATTTTCATCATTCCAATCATTTTGTTGTGCTTAAAGCTACTGGCCTGAGAAAGGATACTAGGAAGGACTCCCTTTGCATCTCCTTAGCAGTCTTACTTCTGGTAGCTTCTCCCTGTCGCTACGGGTGGGGGCTATGGCAGCCATGATTTTATTTCACCAAATCAAAAGTGCTTTGGTATAAAAAGATCCCTCAGGGTGTGTATGTGTATGTTTATTTTGTTAACACCACCAATACTTGAAGACCCCTCCTCACACAAGCAGATCCACACTTCCACTTCACGCGTCTTTGTTATGAACAGCCAGGAATGACAGGAAGAATATTAGGGGATTTACATTCCAATGAACTTCTGCCTTGAAATTCTTGCGGATCACTCATCTTTATTAAAAGAGTGCGCGCATGATAGATTGTCGGCTATGGAAGCAAATGCGTAACTATATGTAAGATTTATCCTTGAACATAGTTAGAGGATAAATAAAGCAGCAGGGGGAGAGTTAACATCAAGGTGTGGGGCACGCCTGCAGGATCGTCCTGATTCTCCCTCAGTGGGACTCCCCGCTCTTCACCCAGTGCTCTCTGACCCAAGGCCCAGACCTGCCACTTCCTCCCCATCACCAGGCACGTCAGGTCCCCTTCAGCCTCCTCCTGGACAAGCACCTCTTGCTTTCTTCCTTGTAAGTCACGCAGACAGTCTTTGTGATTTACATGCGAGTGAGGGGAAGGAGGAATGCAAGTACCTTCCTTGTGAACAGCGAGGACCCAGGCCTGCCTGCCCTCAGTCCCCATGGTGGAGCCTGTGATGCTGGTGAAGGTTGGAGCTCTGGCGAAAGCTTTTCCCACACTGACCACACTGGTATGGCTTCTCCCCGGTGTGGATCCGCTGGTGCAGCTTCAGGGTGGATTGCCGGCCAAAGCAGTTCCCACACTCTCCACACGTGTAGGGCCTCTCCCCCGTGTGGACTCGCTGGTGCCTTTTCAGCTCTGAATTCCACGTGAAGCTTTTCCCACATTCATCACATTTGTAAGGTTTCTTTGCCGAGCGGGCTGGCTGGTGACTGAGACGCTGCAGGCGGCTGCTCAGGCTCCTTCTGCTCCCCTTGCTCTTCTTTAGCTCTCTCAGTGGGTGGTTTTTCAGGGGGGCGCCGATGTACTCCAGTTCCCTGCAATGTCTCTGGTAGTGAGCAAAGGGCTTCTGGGCGCTGGGGGCGCTGACCTGCCTCTGGGACAGCCGGGGCTCACTCAGACTCGCCCCTCTGGGTTCGGGACTCTGCAGGCCACTCCCTTTCGGTCTGCCCACTGACAACACACATGGCTTTGCCCCTTTAGCCCCTTCCTGCTGTGGATTCTCCTTGTTGTCACTTTGCATCCTGGGGGTCTCTACAATTAGAAAGAATATGCTTCATTTCTGGGCTTCAAAGGAAGAACCTCAGCAAAAGAGCTATGAATACACACACAGTTTCTTGAAGTGCGGTTCTCCACTGGGCTGCTCACATTAGATGCACTGGGGCACCTGTCAACCAAGCAGGCTGCCCCTGCTTCCCCCCAGCTGCCGGGTAAGAAGCTCTGGAGGTAGAGCCCGAAGTCTGCAGGTAACAGGGGGAGCCTGTGGGTATTCTGACTTATACTAAAGTTAGGGACCATGTTCTCCAACCCCTGCCTCCTTCCTACCTTTGGGAAAAGGTTTAGGAAAGGAGAAATAGGAAGAAGCAAGCCCATCAGAAAATTCAACACTACAAATACACCCTCACTTATATGGACACTGACCACCACTCTCTCTTCAAATAATGGTAAATCTAGTGAGTGTGGTGTTTGTGCTCATTACAAGGTTGACAGATAGCATATGTCAACTGGGATATGGACCAGTTATGCACCCTAATTACAGAAACTCTGTAACTTCTGACTACCAGGATTAAGGATGAGGAGAGAAATGAGTTCAAGTGGCCTGTGGGCAAGCTGGAGGATTCCTGCTACATGGAAGACCTATTGAACATGGCAGCCACTAGCCACATGTGGCTACTGAGTACTTGGAATATGGCTTGTGTGACTGAGAAACTGAATTTTTATTTAACTTTAAATTCAGATTTAAAAAGCAGCTCACACAATTATGGTCAATTGCTTTTCAACAAGGTTGTCATTATAATTCAACGGGGTAAAGATGTCTTTTCAACAAGTGGTGCTGGAACAACTGGATTTCTATATACAAAAGAATGAAGTTGGACCCTGACTCACAACACAAAAATTAACTCAAAATGGATCAAAGACATAAATTTAACAGCTAAATCTCTCTCTCTTTGAACAGAACAAAGATGTAAGTCTTTGTGACACTGGATTAGGCAACAGTGTTTTAGACATGTCACCAAAAGGACAAGCAAACAAAAAAATAAATTGGACCTCCTCAACATTCAAAACATTTGTGCTCCAAAGGATACTATCAAGAAAGTGAAAAGACAATCCACAGAAAGGGAGAAAACATTTGAAAATTATATATAAGAGTCTGGTATCCAGATAATGTAAAGAACTCTTATAACAACAATAAAAAGACCAACTTAGTTTAAAAATGAGCAAAGGATCTGAATAAACATTTCTCCAAAGAAGATATATTAATACAATTGGCTAATAGGCACACAAAAAGATGCTCAACAGCAGTAGTCATAAGGGAAATAATTCAAAATCTCCAAGAGACTCCATTTCACACCTAGTAGAATGGATAAAATCAAAAGCACCAACAATAACAAGTGTCAACAAGGATATAGAGAAACTGGAATCCTCATAGACTGCTGAAAATAAAATAGTGCAGCCACCTCGGAAAAGTCCAACTTCAAAAAGTTAAACAGAGAGTTACCATAGGACCTGGGCTTCCCTTGTGGCTCAGCTGGTAAAGAATCCACCTGCAGTGCGGGAGACCTGGGTTTGATCACTGGATTGGGAAGATCCCCTGCAGAAAGGAAAGGTTACCCACTCCAGTATTCTGGCCTAGAGAATTCCAGGGACTGTATAGTCCATGGGGTCACAAAGAATCAGACACAACTGAGTGTCTTTCACTTTCTCCATAGGACCCAGTAATTCCACTCCTGGAATTGGTACTGGAATTTCTCTTGGTATAGACTCAAGAGAAATGAAAACAGACACCCGCACGAAAACTTGTACACAAATGTTCACAGCAGTATTATTCATAATAGCTAAAAAGTGGAAACAACACAAATGTCTATCAACTGAAAACAAACAAAATGCCCACAGAGTGGAATATCATTCAGCCATAAAAAGGAATGAAGTACTGGCACATGCTGAATATGTTAATCGCTCAGTTGTGTCCAACTATTTACAACCCCAGGGACTGTAGCCCACCAGGCTCCTTTGTCCATGAGATTTCTGAGGTAAGAATGCTGGCGTGGGTAGCTATCCCCTTCTCCAGGGGATCTTCCTGGCCCAGGGATCAAACCCAGATCTCCTGTATTGCAGGCAGATTCTTCACCATCTGAACCACCAGGGAAGCACACTGCTATAACATAGGTGAACCCTGAGCATGAAACTCCATCCACTTTGGAATCAAATAAAAGGAGATGGAGACAGCATGCAACCCAGCTGCCTCTGCTAAGGCAGAAGGGAGTACGTGTGGTTCACTTTCTTCAGGATCATGAAGGCCAGGTTATGGGGCAGGACCTCAACCTGGACCACAGTGCCTTCTTGCCAGATGCCCTAGGTCTCAATTCCTGAGTTTTGAGAATAATCAAATCAAAGTGTTTCATTAATGTCACAGGAGGAGGAAGGGGCAGAAAATAATACCAAGAGAGGCTTTTTTCTCTAATGAGCAGAACCTTGTTTAGGGCCTTTCTAAACATGGGACAGTTTTAAGTGATGAAACTCAGCCACAGCTTGAATGGAAGTTCATCAGTGGTCATATGTGAATTTGTCTTCACTATGGCATCACTGACTCAAAGGATATGAGTTTGAGCAAGCTCCGGGAGTTGGGAGTTGGTGATGGACAGGGAAGCCTGGTGTCCTGCAGTCCATGGGGTCGCAAAGAGTCGGACACTGAGCAACAGAACTGAACTGATCAGTAGCTCTGAAAGGGACAGAAAAGCAGGCACTAAAACAATCCTGTTGTGTACTGGACTGTCAAAGAGTCATGAAAAGAAATGGTAACAGCACACTTACATATAGTATTACTACCATTCTAATTAGTGAAGTTTGTTAGGGAATCAAGATCTACTATTACATACAATGGAGCAAGCATATTTTCTCCAGATGCTTGCTCCATATTGCTCCATACAATACTGAAGAAAAGCTCACTATCTAGTCTGTGGCTTTTCAGAACCCTGAGATGCTTTGATAGAGATGAAGCGCTGATGAGAGGGAGAGAAGACACACAGAGTGTTTACCTGTCTCAGCCAATCTGGAGGTTGGTTCCTGGAGGAGCAGGGATTTTTCCCAATGACGGGGGCTCGGCTGATCCTGAGATCCTGCCTGGGATGTCTCCTCCCTGGGATGTCTCCTGGGAGTTTGCGGTTGAAAGTCTGGCAGTTCCTGTTCTCCCAGCTGGGATCCAGTTTTCTCCAAAAGCACCTTCTGGCCCTCCATACAAACAGCCACCTAGGAACAAGTCCCTTGCATTAGAGAAC